CTTGTTTGCTGTGTCTAAATGCTTCAATTTTTTTACTACAGTAACATTGCTTGTGCTGAAATTTAGATGAATGAATTTATTTACTTCCTAAATAGCAATGAAAACACAGATATCCCTGGAGAAATATATATTCAAGTTCTTAATGATCCCATTTTAACTGACCTATTACTTTTAGAGATTTAAATTTTAGAGTGACCAGAAGAATTTGAATGCTATAACCTTTGTAAAAAAAAAAAGAATTGAGATTACATTTCTTCTTGATAAGCCAAAGTTTTTCTAATTTATATGTTTCTACTCGCCGTAGATTGAAGATTGGGAGTCCAATCTTTCCAGAAGTATTATTATTTGTTCCTTATCATTTGTTATTTGTTCTCAGGAGTGTCATTCCTTCTTAACATGGAGGAGAAGGGAGCATAGGAGAGGAGAGCAGAGTGAGAGTGAAGCGCTTATATGTAGGTAATGATAGATACGGTTGTTGGATCGTTTCTTGAACAGAATCCAAATCTAAATCCTGTGTTTCCTAAAGCCCCAAGATTAATTAATTAATTAATTAATTAGGTTTATATGTTTAATTTGATATATATATATTTATTTCGAAATCAAGTTTCCCTATTTCTCTCTTCTGTCTTATTTTTCTCTATCCTTCCATCCATAGTGTCTCCGAGATTCTCTATTCCTAACTGGTAATGTTGTGCATCTGTGTACCTGTATTTTTCGCTTCATATGGACACGTGCCAAAAGACGCTTGATCCAATTTGCTGTTCCGCGTGTGCACGCAAACCATACAAAAGCAGCAGGGCGATCCTTCGCAATTTTCTATGCGACAACATCCTGATCGACCACTGTTCCGATCGCCGAATAACGTCCGTTAACATCGATCGGCGATTGTTAAGTGACCCGTTTCGGTCAATTGTTGGTACGATTTGCTGTTTCGTGTCTTGAATTGGCCGTCCGTTGGATTCCTCACAACGTTCTATGCGACGGCATCATGATCGACCGCTAGTCCCGATCATTGAATCACGTCCGTTTATTTCTATCTATGACGCTTTGATCCATCGCGAATCCAACTGTACAGGCGTTGTTGTAATTGTTTTGAAATCCGAGGCCTATAATGACGCGCGCGTTCACAATAATATCTCCGTCCTTTGCGATCCGGCGACGCAACCGGGAATCCAAAGACGCGGAGAAAGAGGAAGAATACAGAGCGCGATGGGTTTGCAGGTGATGAGAACAACATCGCCCCTTGATTTCTGACCCTCTTTTCCTGTTGTTGTGTTCGATTTTGCTGATTTTTCGGAATTTTTTTTTGGGGATATGGTGACCGAATCTTAGAGCTCCGACTGTGGGTGTATGTTAGTCGTAAAGATCTGATTTTGCTTAGAACATCTGCAGTTCTTTGGCTGGTTATTCTTGGATTTGAACCTTTCATGCTGTTGTTTGGAGCCTATGCTGACATTCATGTAGTTTCATGGATCTGGAGAGCATGCATGCTTGAGGCCCCTTTCTCTGTTAAGATCAGAGGCTTCCTTGATTATTTGGTGAAGGGCTGATTTAGTAGTTAGTGTCTGATCGATTTGTACAGTGATTAGCTTCATGAGACTAGAACGAATCTTTATGTGTCACCCCCTTCATTTTCTTGGTCGATCTTGTTGGTTGAGTCCTTTTGAACTCTTCCATGGCCTAAGCCTCATAATGAAGGCAAGAACATGGTGGTACAAGGATAGGTAAGAAGCATTGATCATATGACATGATGCAGAACTGCATCAGAAATGATCCACTTGACTTTTGATGGGCCAAGATACGTCTGATGTTGAGTATTTTGTTGATCATAACTATAGATCTCACTCTTAAATTCTATCACAATTTGGAAAGTGTAGCTAAAATTGTACCTATGTGAAATTTGAAGCATCAGGGACTTTTGTTTTTTAATTTTGGGTGAATAGTAGTCTTTGATTTGTATTTGTGAATGGAAATTATTTGTATTTTAAAATTAGATCAGGGTTGCTTTGACAATTTCTTATAAGTAGAGTTGATCTTTTTAGATGGTAAATTATATATCCTTGCAAAAGCTTGAAGAAGCCGCCATATCGTAAAGGCTGGAGTTTAGTGGTTCAGTCTGGTGAACGAGATTGATTTCACAAAGACCATAAGAAGCATGCATCTGTTTAAACTCGTGCAATACACTAGAGATGCATGTTTTGAAAATCTATACATATGATGGATCAAAGACATGGTTAAAAATCTAGTGAGCTTCAGAGACAATCTTCCAACACTCTAGATGCTTGGAAAACAAACTTGTATGGATCTGTATAACTCTTTGCCTCACCCTCAAAGATATACATTCATTACCTTTAACATGGAGAGCTTATTTTGAAGCTGCTTCAAAAATCCATTTGATAATGTTTCAATGTCTATTATCAGTTCTTCTACTTGTGTACCTGTTGGTAGATCTCATGCGCTCCTAATCTAGTTTTGGTTCTTGTAAGTAACACAATTTCTGATGTACTCTAAAAGAACTCTAATAACATTCAATGGTCCAATTCCAAGTTGCATATCTATATGCATATGAGAAACTGGAATGTAGATCCTTTTCATCAATTTATATTTCATTGGGATCATAATTATAGATAGTTGGAGCATCTTTACAAGAGCATCCTCCATCATCATTCAATTTTAAATTTTGGTATCCAATGAAAAATAGAGACATAATTTCATTTATGTTATATCTATGAAAAAAATATATAAAAGTTGGTATCTTAATTTTTTCAGATACAGCAAGGTGTAAACTTTTCAAATGTTTGTGAATAATTGGTACAATGAGCAAGAAAAACCATAATGCCTGGAATTAGTGGCCCAAAAGTGATAAATATAATTGCTAGAATCTGCCATCTATTTCCCTCAGTTGATGTTCATGTTATGTGTGCGTGTGTGCACACATGAGAAGAAACAACTTTTCCTAAATGATGCTCTATTTGCACACTTAAGTTTGGAAAAAAACTGTCTCAAAAGAGGAAAAGACAAAAAAAAGACTTGGTCTTCTGCTCCCCATTTCTTCCAAATAGTTGAATTTAAAAGATGGGCTTGGTTTGTGTTCTTGTTATTAATTATCATTTTTTCTTATTTATATCATTGAGACTGTTCCGTCAATCATTTTTTTTCAGTTTTACTTAGCATATGGTCTTTGTTATAAGTGGTCTATAAGTATTAAGATTGTATCTTTATCTGCTTCCTAGTTTCTGATTTATGTTTATAAGAGTTTGCTTCTAAGAATCTGTCTTGATGGTATTGGTTATTGTGCCTCATAGTACATTCTGATTTAATATATTTCTTTATCTGCGAAAACTTAACTAGATGATGATATCTAATCTTTTGCAGGAAGATTTTGAAGAATATGCTGCAAAAGCTAAAACTTTACCTGAAAATACTACTAACGAGAACAAATTGATCCTCTATGGGCTTTACAAGCAAGCAACTGTTGGACCAGTGAATACTAGTATATGCTCCTTAATATCTTCTTATTCGTGATTTTCATGTTTTGTCAAACAAATTTATGACACTTTTTTCTTTTGTTTCTTTGCAGGCCGACCTGGTATATTCAATATGAGGGATAGAGCCAAGTGGGATGCTTGGAAGGCTGTTGAAGGTTCACAAAATCAACTTGACAAATCTTATATATATATATATATATATATATATATATATATATATATATATATATATATATATAACTTGTTGGACAAAATTCATTTCTTATTTGATATTGATAAAATTGACAGGGAAGTCAAAGGAGGAGGCCATGAGTGACTACATCACCAAAGTTAAACAGCTTCTCGAAGAGGCCGCAGCTGCTGCTGCCTAAGCCACTTCGCCTGATGCATCAATGAATTGAAACATCTTGCTCTATGTAGTACCATTTAAGCTGCTGCCTTCTATTTTGAACTTGAATCGTCCACTGGATGTGTTTGTTATTGATTGCATCTCCTTTGTGTCTTAACAATTGACACTATCTGATATCTAATGCAGTATCTTATCATTTCATTAGTGTTTCATTTAAGTTAAGATGCATGCGGAAGTCAAGTTTTTAGGTCATGAAAGCTAAGCGTGGGCATGTTGAATGTGCATTACCTGCAGCCCTTATATTTTGTGAAGCTTCATTGATTCCCAGTAAGACTGTAAATGTTAGGTTTTGTTCATTTTTCTCTTCAGTACTACATGCTAGAGATCTTTTATCTTTGTGAAGTTTCTTCCCCATAAAACCTAGCAGATCTGTGATAAAATTTTATAAGAAATTTAATAGTAATGAGTGTAACCTAGAAACTTAGCTGATCTTTAAAAAGGAGGCTTTTTATAGTTGTCTTCCTATAGTCTGATTTTTTAGTCTAACAGTCCTGGTAGAAAAATCCTGTATATTTTCTCTGATCTTCTGCCATGACTTTTGGGTTTCTTTCTACATCCAAATTTATATAGAATGTGCTTTGTGAAAGGCATGGAGAGTTGTAATTACCAACATTGCTTTTGTTTTTTATCTTTCAGTATGCCATCTGATATTTATTTGTTATATTCTCTTAAAAATCTGTGTCAAGTATAGTATTGGTTTTTTAACACGGTGGCCGCAGAACTTTGATAGTTTTATCTAATAGACTCGATTGATCCAAAAGAACTTTGTTTTATGTAGTTAATTAGGCAAGGCGTTCTTTTTTAGAAGAAGAAAGTGATCATTCTGATTTCAACAAACTTGATTTTCTTTTTCCTTCTTTCATTAGATTCTCATTTGCTACCTCCAAATAAAATTCTGTTTCCTTATTTGCAACAAAGTCTTTTGCCTTCCTTTTCTGCCATATCAACTGCGGGAATGTAATGATTTTTTGGTTCTCAAATTTATAATATCATCAACTCTCTGTTGAACTCAAGTTTGAATTCATGGCGTGCTCTCTGAATGTGGTGGATTATTGTGTCCATGACATGCATAGAAATTCCTGTAAATGTTAGTTCTGAGATCATGAAGTGCTCTCTGTTGAACTCAAGCTTGAAATGACATGTATTAACTGATCTGGGAAGAAGAGCAAAGAAAGATCTTTTCCGATGGTAATTGGGATAAGTAGTAGATGTTAGAAAATTTTGCCATGAAAATATTTTGATGATAGCAGGATGAAGTCATTAAGTCATTGGAATTGGATTCTTGGTTTTGTCTTCATTTATAACGTCTGCCAATGCCTGAGTTTTTTAGCTGCAACTTGAAGCATTTTGATTTTGTTGCTGCTGCATGGTTGACTGCAGTAGGAATTTGTAGGAATTTGTCTCATACACATGTTGAAAGCATCAAGAACAATTTTAGTCAAACTGTGTTCTTACCTTTTTTTTTTTTTTTTTCGTTTGAATCCAAACTCGCATTTTCAAGTATCTTGCTTGAATCCAAACTCATACACATGATGAGCTTAAACTGTGCAATAAGAATAATCTGACTGGTTTGGCTAAGTTCAAATGCCAAATACTTAGAGAGAGAAAAAACTCAATTATCTTTCTTTTTTTTGTTGCTTTATTTTCACATCTGTGACAACTCTTTTGTTGTTCCTTTTTTTTTTTTATACTTATGTCTCTTAATTATTTCTAGAAGTAGAGATTGTTGATAAATATGTGTTTTTCAACCCAAATATGAATCATGGTTAAATTAATTATTTGAGTAGATGAATTTTTTGATATTTTTTTATGATAAATAATAAAATGAAATTATTGAGGGCTTATGTATATATTATCAAAAAAGATGAGAAAAAAAATAATTTTTAAAGGTTAAAATCAATTGCCTTATCATATGCAAATCAAAGAATCCTAGTTTTTCAAAAAATATTTTTTACAAAGTCAAATTAATCAATTTATGTATTCTTTATGCAGAGCAGTTCATTTTTCATAAATGATAAGAAGGATCATTAAAAGGTTGATTGACACATATTTTATTCTTTTTTATTTGGTTTTTATTTAGTGGAAACCCTTAAATCGATTATTATTTTAATTTTATACATTACAAAAAAATAGTATTATTAATATATAATTAAACTTATACATCTTCAAAATAATTAGTTAAAAATTGATTTAAAAATTATAAAAATAGTAAACTGAGATTCATTTATATGATAATATCTTTTATTTAATATGTCAAAGTTGGGTGCGGCTCTCTTTAATGTCGTCATCCGATGGTCGACCGCTGAGACTGCCACCGAGGCAAACACCAGTCTTCACTCCCGCGAAGTTCCTCGGAGCGAGGAAGGGAGGAGTTCGCCGGCGATGGAGAAGAATGTGGTGATGATCTGTGCAGCCGTGAGCTTCCTTGGCCTTCTCTCTGCTTCGCTCGGCTTCGCGGCTGAGGCCACAAGGATCAGGGTTTGCTATCTCGAATCACTCCCTTCTTTGGCATTCTTCTTTTCTGAGCTCGTTGATATTCTTATCCTTCGTTCCTCGAACTCATGCTAGCTAGAACTCGACATTTCTTGGTGTCCTTGCAGACCGATGAGGGTTTTGGGTTTTCTTCACCTGACTTACCATGTGGAATCGGTTGCTCTGCCACTCCACTGGAAAGCCATCATCTATCGCGTTAGGGTTTTATAGGGTTTTAAAGACGGGATCTCGTTGATTAGGAGGCATCTTTACTGTTTCCTGTGGTAAAGTTCTGATCTTTGAATTCCTGGTTGTCTTTCTTTCTTCGGTAAGGGTGGACTAGAATTACTATTGATTGCTATCAGTTGTCAGGTTTTTGTCGGTAAGGCCTGTTGATTTCTCTTGATTCACCTACCATTCGTCCTATAATGAAGTCATCATCTTGGAACCGGCTTCAGGGATAATATTTTTTTTTTCTATCGCATTAGGGTTTGTAGTGTTTAAAGATTGGATCTTTTTAATTGGCATTGACGAAGTCGTGTCAGGTCAAGCTTGCACTTGGTCTAGAACACCTTCATCAAGCCATGGGACTGTTGCAATCTTGGTTAGAGGTTGATGTCTTTACCTTCAATCTCTATTTGCAGGTTTCTGATGTGCAAACATCAACACTAGGTCAATGCACATATCCAAGGAGCCCATCATTAGCTCTGGGTCTTATAGCTGCAGTGGCTCTTGTGATAGCTCAGGCCATCATAAGCACCATAGCTGGGTGTATATGTTGCAAGAAATATCCAAATCCATCCGACACCAACTGGACAATTGGGATGTTCGCCTTTGTTGCTTCTTGGTAACTTATATACTTCCTTTTCCAATTCGACACCAAGGGTATTGTATACAACTTATGCTCCCTTTTCCAAAGATTCTGTAGTTCAGATTTGCTTCTTGTAAGCAACTGCAAGGATTACCACCTCATCCTTATGGTTATTCATGAATATGACCTTTTTCTCTATATTTCTTGCAGGCACATGAAATATCTCTATTGTGAACCATAATTGTGCCCTGTGATAAACTTTACCTCCACATTATATTAATAGTTCAAACTTGGCAATCCTTACACGCAGGCATTAATTGCTCTTGTTTGATGTCTTGATCAATTATTTTATATTAATTACTTCTCAAGTCAATTTAAACAGTAGCTTTTATAACTAATATACTAACCTTACTTTCTCAGAACAAAAACAACGGTGAGAATTATTTAGGCTCACTAATTGGACCCTTTCTCATCATTGAGCTGTACAGAGGATGATATCATCAAGTAAATGAAGAACCAACAAGTTCTATATTATTTTCTATCCCAGTATTGAAGGGATCAAGAAAAATGTATCAAAGGAAAGGCAGGTCATAGTTCATCAATTCACATGGTGAGGAAACATTGGCTTATGGTGATCAGACGTGATGCCAACAACTAAGATTAGACGCTCAAGAGGTTGTGGGAGATGATTATCAAGCATTGTATGTTGGAACAAGACTGATTGTTTGTTCGTGAAAGGAAGATGCAGAAAAAAAGAGCTATGGTTGGCAGCAATGTTGTAAAGATTATATTGGTATCCCTTATTAAATCCTTAGATAAGCATAAAAGTATTATAATTGGTTTGTTCTTGAAGAAGGAATTGAAAGATTGCTGGTCGCTGCAAAGTTTTTGAACAATCATGTACAGTCCATCCCGTGAGATTAACTAATCCATATTTTTTCTAGTTGGGTCAGATTAATGAGGAGAAATCACATATGTCGAACTCAAAATGCAACAAAATTCTTCAGATCGACAAAACTGTTCTTAACTTCATATGTTGGCCGTCTTCTTGGGAGCAGACATATTCATTTGTCAAACGTAATTATTCATATGCTATCAATTGACTTAAGAATTGCCTTTTTTCAGTACTAAAGTTTAACTATTTAGCTGATGTCTGAGTTGAGTTCATTCCAGGAACTCAGCATTGCTTATATCTTGAATCATGCAGGGTGACTTTTATTATAGCCCTTGTTCTGTTGTTGAGTGGTGCTGCTCTAAACGATAAATGGGGGCAGGAAAGGGTGTACTTTGGCAAATACTGCTACGTCATCGAGTCTCGGGTATTTACAGGAGGTGCAGTGTTATCCCTTGCAAGTGTTGCCCTTGGGATTTTTTATTATGTTTCATCAACATTACCAAAGAATATACAAGTTTCAAATCCACAACAAAATCAAGGCATCTCATTGGGTCATTCTAATATTCCTCCGGGGACTCAGACCACCCTGGTATTTGTGCATGAGGATACATATATCAGGCAGCAATTTCCCTGAAGGTGACAGTGGTTTTCGCTAGATCAAATTCTAGATCATTTTGATCTTGAGCTCTGTCCTTCTTGTGTGACAGTAGGCACACAAATTGTTGTCCTCTCCTGCGGCAGCTCTATATCGGCGATGCATGAGGCTCGGACAAACACATCGATGTGTGTAGTTGAGAATTAGTGGTGTTGTATATTACTTCCATCTCCAATGTGAAGTTTGACAGCATTCGATCGCAACATCTACAACAGCTTGGTAGCTTGTGGTGGATGAACAGCATTAGTGATGAGAAGATGACATTTTGCAGAGTTGAGAGGGTTTGTATCAACTGTAATTTGTGTTGCAATATGAACATCACATTTTGTGTTGATAATTATGTACTGTACGGTCAAATCTTGCCAACTTGCATGGCGAAGAACAATGCAGATGTGTGGTCCAAATTGCACGGTTTCCGTATCTTGCATGACAGTGTAGGATTTGCAGGGAGAGCATTAAGTTGGCATGTGTGGATGTTGTGGCATTCTCAGTTCTTCCTGTAGGACAGGAGGGCATTGTAGGATTTGCAGGGAGGGGATTAAATTGTCATATGTGGATGCTGTGGATTTCTCGGGTCTTCCTGTAGGAGAGGGCATTGTAGGATTAAATGTGCCATATGTGGATGCTGTGGATTTCTCGGGTCTTCCTGTAGGGCAGGGCATTGTAGGATTTGCAGGGAGAGCATTAAATGTGCCATGTGTGGATGTTGTGGAATGCTCTGTGATTCCTCTATGGTTGCAGGTGCTTGGTTTGTTCCTTCCCCTGACTGACCACAGTTCAGTTTTAATGCTTGGAGACATCCACTTTGCCTGCCTCAGTGATCTCAGCTTGCTTGCTTATACCTTTACAGAAATGTTGAGGAAGTTGATGAAGTTTGGATTTACACCATGGTATTGTAATGCGATGCAAGACATTATCACAACGAACTATTGATGCTCATCTCTAACCACCTATTCATTTTGAGATGGAGATCGGGTTTACAAATATGATAAATATATTACTATCAACTTCAACTTCAGTCAAATCCAAAAATTATAATACCTTGATTAGTACTTATGAAAGTTTAATGAATATTTTATTATCAATTTCAATTTAAATATTTTGATTAGTGATTTAGATCAAATAAAATTGATATACTAATTAATCCAACAATCAGGGTCATAACATTTATTGTAACACTCTAATTAGTCTTATATCGAAAATTGATAAATCAGATATAATTCTTTACTTAAAGTGAAATATAAGATATAAATAATTTTTATCTTTAAAAAATTTATGTCTGAATCCGAATACTGAATGATCTCTCATGTTCAAGACACGATAATATTAAAATTAAATAATAAATCAGGTCAATTTAATGCTTAAATTCATTTCCAAAAAACTAACCATATATATTGATTTTTTTCATATAAAAAAAATTCTTCGAATAATATTTGTATTATCAGTCACATTCCTAGACTGTCTTTTCGTGTTATATATATATATATATATATATATATATATATATATATATATATATATATATAATAATAATAATAATAATAATAATAATAATACTAATAATAATAATAATAATAAATTGGGAGAGCTTTCGTTGCAGCTTCCCAGAATGGACACCAGCGAGATGGCAGAAACCGAAGCCACCACCACTATCGGGAACCTCTCCCGATTCCAAGGTTTGTTCTCCCCCCCTCCCTCGCTCCAATCTTCTTCTTCTCTGGATTTACCCTTCCGGTTCCTGATGAATTGAGCAAACCCTGCTCTCCGACTCAACCCCCTGCCCTTTTGGTGCCCAAAGCTACTGCCGCCTGGGTTGATCGAGAGTTGGATTGCGTCTGGTGGTGGTGGTGGTGGTATATAGATCTAGGATCCATAGGACTGCAATCTTCTGTGATGAGCAGGCTTGGGGATTTTGGGCGAGGCGGTAAGGGGCCGATCGTGGAAAGGATTACTTGGTCGATCGACACTATCTCGCTCATCTCTTTCGAAGATTTCAAGCATCGAGACTTAATCTTCTTAAGGTTCTTTCTTGTTTTTCCAGGACGGATTGCTCTTCGTGAGGAGCTCAAAGCGGGATCTTTCTCCAGATAGGTTGGTCGTCGTCGTGATTTGTTGCAGGCGGTCCAGGTAAAGAATTCGGCCCTTTGAGCTTCACTACAATTTACAGCTTGCAGCAAAAAAGACTTGATCTCGAAACGAGTTTCTGTGACTCCTCGGAGCAGTATCCCTCCATGGATGTCCCTGAATCCTATCCGACAGAGACCGAATTCTCCACCGTGGGTATGGAAACGGATCGTGTCCCGTCCTACAAATCTTCTGCTGCTTCTGGTGCTAAGGCAGGCATTTCTTCCACCGGTAGTGTGCATGAGCTTCTTGAATGCCCAGTTTGCACCAATTCTATGTACCCTCCCATACACCAGGTACCATCTGTTTCTGTGTTGTCTCGTCAACCGTATCAGGACATGTAGTGTAATGTCTGTGGGCAATTTGTTTCTCTCTGATATGAACTTGCTAGCAATGCATCATCTGTTCATTGCATCAAATATTTCTTTTATGTTTTAACACTACAATAGATAGATAGATAGAAAGATAGATAGATAGATAGGAATTTAAGTTTCTTGTCATGGATTGCTACTTGCCGGATGGCTCATCTTTCCTTCTTGACCTTTTAATCTGATAACTACATGTCATCAAGATGTAGGTACGGCAATTTGTTTCTCTCTGATATCACTTGCGTAGTTTCTTGAACTTGCTAGCAATGCATCATCTGTTCATTGCATCAAATATTTCTTATGTTTTAACACTACAATAGATAGATAGATAGGAATTTAAGTTTCTTGTCATGGATTGCTACTTGCCGGACGGCTCATCTTTCCTTCTTGACCTTTTAATCTGATAACTACATGTCATTCAGATATAGGGAGGATTAATATCATCGATCACTGAGGCGAATATTTCTAGATAATTTATGCCTTCTAGAGTGTAGTTTATTCATCACTCAAGGACAACTGGACATGTTTTCTCCTCATTCCCTCTCCCAATGTTCTTTTCTGTATGGAGGCTGTAGATTGTCATCGACCACAATGCACAACAATTTATGAATTCACTTCCAACAATTTATGAATTCACAACGCTGAACTATGTTTTGCCTCTTCATTTGTACTTTTTCTTTGCAGGACTAATCTACATCAGCACTTTTTTATGCTTCTACATGTTATCATGCAATTGTTCTGCCTTTTCTTTGACACTCGTTCATGTTTCTCATTCTCCTTATCGATTTACTAATTTTCTCGCTTGCTTTATGTCCAGTCCTTTCAGCAGAATGATAAAATCATTGGTAAATAACCTTTATAAATCCTGAAGAGCATGAGATAGAGACTCAAAAGTGGATGTCCATGTGCACCACCTGATCTGATCAATAGCATAATATCTCGGATCCTAGTCTTATCCCATAAAGCCATATATGATGTGGAACTTAAGTCTTGTGTCATCCACCCCTGCAGTGTCCAAATGGTCACACTCTCTGTTCGAGCTGCAAACTCAGAGTGCACAACCACTGCCCTACTTGTCGCCAAGAGCTGGGGAACATCAGATGCCTGGCTCTCGAGAAGGTTGCAGAGTCACTGGAGCTACCATGCAGATACCAGAACTTGGGCTGCTTAGAGATACATCCATATTACAGCAAGTTGAAGCATGAGCAGCTGTGCAGGTTCAGACCCTACAATTGCCCCTATGCAGGCTCAGAATGCCTGGTCACAGGTGACGTTCCAATGCTTGTTGCCCATCTAAAAACTGATCATAAGGTGGACATGCATGATGGGTGCACATTTAACCACCGGTATGTCAAACCCAATCCAAATGAGGTTGAGAACGCGACGTGGATGCTCACCGTAAGTTTTCCCCTCTTTCTCGGTAATTCTATCCCCAATTTTGTTGCTTCTATGGTAATGAGCAATGAGCTATTTTTGTTTCTAGGGTTAAATAGTATGCCTCAAGTATTCTGTATGCCATTTTTCCCCCCTCCCATAACAGAATTCTATGAAGACTTATAGGTTCTACAGACTGACCTATTATGTTTCATTCCACAAAACGTCAAAAGGAGATGATATGTTTTCCTTCCAAGACTTGAGGTTCTACAGACTGACCTATTATTATGTTTCATTCCACAAAATGTCAGAGGAGATGGTATGTTTTCCTTCCAAAGAAACAGCAGTATTGCCTAAACTCCACTCCCTTGCCTTGTAGTCCATTTGGCTTCTTGATTACATTCTCTGAAACAGTAGGACATAGGAGAGAACTAAGAAGTATGTTATATTGTTTACTCTTTCCAAGTTCTGTGAGGCTTAAAGATTAACAGAAAATTGCTGATAGATGTAGAAGCTCCTCTGACATAATTGATCTCTAAAGCTGATGAACCAGATAGTATGTGAACATCATTCTATTGTAGCTTACGTGAAATGCTACGAGTTTAAGTTTAAGTCTGTGTAAGATTTTGAATTGTAGCTCACGTGAAGTGCTATTAGATTAAGTTTTAAATCATTGTGTATCGAATCTTATGCTTCGTAGTTGTTTATTTCTTGTCATTCAAATATATCATGCAGGTTTTCAGTTGTTATGGGCATTACTTCTGCCTTCACTTTGAGGCCTTCCTCCTGGGAATGGCTCCAGTTTATATGGCATTCTTAAGGTTTCTCGGTGAGGACAGTGAAGCAAGGCACTTCAGCTACAGCTTGGAAGTGGGCGGCAATGGCCGAAAACTCACATGGCAAGGAGTGCCGAGGAGCATAAGGGACAGCCACAGGAAAGTCCGCGACAGCTATGATGGGTTGATCATCCATCGTAACATGGCACTCTTCTTCTCCGGTGGCGACCGACACGAGCTGAAGCTACGCATCACCGGTCGGATATGGAAAGAACAATGAACAATGAACTCAGTGATTTAGAATGCATCTTGCAAATGTATACGCCAAAGGCTCATCAATTCTTGCAACCTTGTAGTGTAACCTAAAACTCTTTATTCAAAGCAATGGAAGAAGCATGCGTGAGATCCACAACCATGACCTGGAGTGCCAATCTTGGTCAGAGTCGATCTCTCCATGCTTCTTTCTATTTGAGATCTATAGCACTCATATCAACAGAAAGGAGTGTGAGAAGCTTTACAAAGAAGAGATCCATGGCAGTCATCTAAAAATTTCAAAGTCCCAAGAAAGAGTGTGACTGAGAACCTTTACAAAGAAGAGATGATCCATAGCAGTCATCTAAAAATTTCCAAGTACCAAGAAAGAGTGTGAGTGAGAAGCGTTACAAAGAAGAGATGATCCATAGTAGTCATCTAAATATTTCCAAGTACCAAGAAAGAGTGTGAGTGAGAAGCTTTACAAAGAGACAATAGTAGGTTAGCAGAAACAGAATGGAGAGATAAGCTGCTTCTAAAGGCTGGTTGGTATGGAATGTAATGTTCCATTTTCCTTATAAGCCCTTTGGGCACATACAAATATGATACTAAGCCAAAGGTTGAGTCACCTAGAAGGGGGTTCTGATACCTGATTACTGTTTAAAGCAGGATTGGGGGAGATGGTCGGCAGAGCTCCATTGTTGTCCTGGGGAGGTGCTGACCCCCAGTTCGGATCGGCATCAGGTGGCTCCACCACATGGACGGCACCGTCACTCATCCCCAGCGCGATCTGATTGGGCTCCGATGGGTGAGCAGCAATCACCATAGGATAGGCAGCACCAGGGGGGCTGGACAAGGAAGCAGAAAGAGATGAAGCATCCATCAGATTGAACATAGTCATTTTGAGCTTTCTTTTGGGAAAGAAATTTAAGGAATTTGCAGAATAAAATGTCAGCAACTATAATGATTTTGAGCTTTTACAGCATGAAACTGACGCTAAATGTTTACTGGTATAAAGTTAACTGCCATAGATTCCTCATAACTCTATACTATGAGCAAGAATAAAAGAAAAAAAACAGATGCATATAAAGATGTTCTTTAGGGTTGAGTAATAAGTTACTACTTGAAACCCCTTCCAATACAATACAATTCAGCAATTGGAGACAAATATTAAACAACTGGCCCCATCATTAGTCGCTCCTTATTGTATAGGCATTGATAGACCAATTTACAAACAGTGTTTAGACTGGATACTGTTAGGATTAGGGAGATCTTAACCTGAGATTAAGTTTATTAGGCGTTCAACCTGACCCAAAAGATCAGAGTTGGAGCCATAGACTTGACCCATTTGTTATTTGATCATATCCAAGTGTGACAATCTTGATCAAATGATAAATACAGGCCAATTGACAGCACCCAAATTCGACTAACCAGGCCCCACTGAATTTTCCACCAGAAAAAATAAACATGGATTAAGTGCAAGGGAGCCTGAAAACATGTAGCGATCACCTGACCTAATCATTTGTTCTGTGCTTCCAATGGCAATGGCAATCAAATATAAGAATCAAGCAAGTAAAATGTCTTCCCACCATTTATTAACTGTTTTTTTTGTTCGCTTACCAGGTAAGGAGAGAAAATTTAATCAAAATAAGAATACCTAGAAACGGGTGGAGATATGTAGGCAGAGGGTGCAATCCGGCAACGGAGCCTCAGGCTATCCGCTTCAAAAACCCCAATAGCACCATCACAAAATGCAGAATATACCAGCACACCATCGCAAGAGTATATTGCACTTGAAATTGGTGCCGGGAGAGCATCTCTAGGAGACCACTGCATCAGTCGATAAGAACATTAGATGAACTAAAAGAGAAATTCAAAAGAAAGTACAATAATTTCATGAGAAGATAGATCATCATTCAGCCTCTAAAGGAAACATGTCAAATGAGTAACATGACCTGAAATATCAAGAAAACAAAGTAAACTATGCCTGATATAAGCAGTCACATGACTAATTTCCTCCAACACAGGGATACAAAACTTTGGATACACAATAAACTGAGAGTGATAGCGAAGCTTAACAAAAAAGTAGCCAACTTCACTTCCTCTTCCTGTGTTCAAACTTTGCATGATTGCTTTTGTTCTTATTTAGGCAAGATAAATCATCAACTAACACACAAACATAAACCACAAACAAGCCTAGAAACTGAATTCTGAGAATGCTTTTCAACTTGATACATCCTTTCGAATATGTATAATTGCAATTATCAGAGAGGAGGAACTAACCGAACACAAACACTCAAGTTTACTATCATAGATCGTTATTTGGCTTTGATGGACAACCAAGAGATGTGCCTGATCATTGTGAAACTGGACTTTGGTATCCCCAACTAATGGGGATGCATGGCCAGCAGGCACTTGGATAAATCGTGACTTCTTCTTCTCCCATCCATCTATGCTCCAAACACAAAGCTGCAATTTCATCTCATTAGAAGATAACCTTGATAAGATACTGGAGCTGAACAATTAGCATTTCATCAAAGATCGAAGACATCTAATTGGAACTAAAACAACATTGGAACATTATAATTCTCAATATTATGATAGTCTGGTTTTGATAATTGGGCTAGGCCCACCATATGCTTGATTCAGAATACGCTAATCAATCAGTAATACTTTTTATCTGCACACCTGAGCATCAGCTCCAGAAGATACAAGAACATTTAGTGACTGGGAAAATGCAAGACCAGTAATCTTTTTCTGGTGACCCTTCAGCTTCGTTTTGACCTGCAAGCAGGGAAGACATAAAATAAGGACAAACAGCCTGGAGACATTTCAAAAAATATGATAAATAACTGAAACACATCAACGATTATGATTAAGAAGCCTTTGAATTAGTTTTTCCTAATAAATCCATTACCAAAAAAGTAATTACTCTGCACATAAAATAGCCCTTACCACTAAAGTCGCATATATCCATCATCCAAAAGTGATCAAATCCAATCATATAATGCCAAACCCTTTTATAGCCTTCGTATTGCAAGTATTCTAGGGACTAGGGGATACTAGAGGAAAACAAAGCGAAGTACCAGCTACAAAGAGAAAAGACTAAAATGGAAGGATTTGAAATATCAAATCAAACTGGATTTTCGACAAGCGATAGAGACACAAAATGCACTAGCAAAATGAAGAATTTCATTGCCATGAAGCACAAAAAGGGAAGAATTTCACTTGCGTGTGTGTACTGCAAGAGATTGCTAACCTCATCAACCCGGACATTATATATCTGAATAGTGGAATCTTCCATCCCAATTGCAATTATGTTATTATCTTGAGGATGGAATGCCAAAAAGGTGGCTGCAGGTGGGGGTGGCATGAAGGTCGTCATAACCTGCAAGACTTGTTGCAGTTTAGCTTACCAGGACAATGGAAAATTGATATTTAAGCATTTTTCTTGGAACAAAAGTATGGCTGAAATAAGTCAGAATAGGGATGTACCTTAAAAGTCATCATATTGAATAACGAAACCTTTCCACCAGATGCAGACATCACATAAGAGTCATTCTTTGACAAAGCAATACATGCACTTGCTTCTTCTGGATTGTTGTCACTGGTTTCATTAGTCATAAAAATACTGTTTGATGGTTGCCACAACTGAGGTGCGACAGAAGCAGTTGACTGAACTAACAAAAGAGAGTCAGAAATTAGCTATCTGTAAAAACATAATGCCTCACCAATGTTACTTGCTAACCTTGCCAGAAGGATTTCGATCATTACGAGTCCATTTCCATAGCTTATGTACGGCATTGGAACCAAGAGCTAATACCGATAGCCCAGAGTTTGTGTATAACAACCGCATCACCTGCAAGCCAAAGTATGTGTGTGTACACAATTTGGTAGGTGAATTAGGCAATTCTTTTTTTTTTCGTTATAGCATTAAAGATTGATGAGCACATATACTAGTCAAAATTACAAAAATGAAAAAAAAAAAGGAAAGAAACATCAACTTCTTTTGAATTAGTATATCCTAGGACATACAACCAAGATATGCAATTTCAAATAGTACCGCCCGGTACGAGCGGTACGTACCGATCCGACGGCATACCGATACGCAGATCGCAAGCTACCGGGCGGAACGTTTAAAAGCGCCCCATATCGGACGATACGGGGTAATATCGGGCGGTAACGGTCGAAATTTCGACCGTTACCACCCGGCACAACTCGGTAACGGTCGATTTCGACCGTTACCACATTGTAACAGTGCTACAGTGCTCCAACGGTCAAATTGACCGTTGGAGCCCATTCTTATAGTATTTAAACCCTTCTTCTCCCCTATTTCACTCCATTACATTCTCATACTCTCTTAAACTATTTTAAACTCTTTTTTTCTCATATTTGTGCTCTCCTAAACTCTACAAAAGGACACTTCATTACATTCTCATACTCTCCTAAACTCTACAAACTCTTTTTTTTCTCACATTTGTGCTCCCCTATTCGAATGATTTTTCTGTAGATATTTCAATATTTACATAAGGACAATCCGTAATGGATCGAAATACGAACCTTGCACAAGATATTCTTCAAAGCCCGAAAAAGATATGTAATACTATTCTTACCTAATTTACATTGATTTTGCTTAACTTATGCTATTACTATATTTATTTCTAACTTAAAAATAATATCCCAACTTTTTTTTATTTTCAGGTATTCTCAGAGGATTTTACACCTAAATTAGGTGTACTGCTCGGTACGCCCTGACGTACCGCTCGGTACATGGTACCGTACCATACCGAGCCAACCTCGAAACACCGGTACGATACGGTATTGCATACCTTGCATACAACAATATGGGCATATGTACAGGATACAGAGACATTATGTTTATGTATATGCATAAATATTTCCTCAGTTGTATGTCATACCCTAAAAAAGGCCCTTCCAGTAATTAAATTAGTATTATTTATAGCCATGTGATAATTTAATACAAAAACTGGAACACTTGGACTACCTTACTAGCAACTACAAACAGTGAAAGGTGTTAAACATATGGCTAACAAACAAAAAGTTAAGTTGACACAATGGAGAATTCTTTACACCAAGTTTTATCCTTGATATCGTGCAATAACAAAGCTTATATCAAGTTTCCCTCCTTTTTTATCGTAAACACTGAAGACAGAATTCATGGAATTTATCTATTTACATTGCAAGACTAGTGTGAAAACATTTTAT